GTGCAGCCAACATCTAACGTTATACCCTAGGCCCTGAACGTACCAATTTTATAATGAATTAATTTAACAACCAGGATATGAGTCCCTCACCTAAAAAAACCCCGTTTACTGACAGTTTATTCCCTCTCGTCCTCCTCAACCCACATTCACTTGTATTTTGCCATATTGTCAGGGGCTGCCACACCTACTGAAGGTATCCCGCCGTTCACAGGGGCCAGGTGCTGCTGAACCACCTGTTGCTCATCAGACATCCCTTATGATGGCACCGCTGTCCCTCACAACCAACAAAAAAAAGCCAGGGAGTTAAAACCTACGCCGGCTTCAAACTGTTAGAAAACGTGTTACTTACTTCCATAGCGTGGCTTTTGTAAAGTTGCGGTTTCTTCATGGTACATCTTGCGTCGCTTCCTCCACTTGTGAACTCGCCTGAACTGGAAATAACTTGAGCTTACTTCAAGCTACAACGCCAGCAGTATGCCGCGCCTCGGAGGATGTATTGATATGAATAAAATAACTGGTGTGTAAGATAGCTAACTTGGGGGGGGGGCGGGGGGGGGGAATGCCTAAAGTGGGGCTCAAACGGTCTTCAAAAGTTTCATGAAAGCGCTGAACTGTCACTTGCGGTAGACAATCCCCATGGTGTGCACTTCTTTTGCTTCAGTCCTGAACCAAGTGCTGGTGTTATCTTGCCGCGGCTACACTCTTCTGAAGTGAAATGATTGACGGGACAGAGAGATGGAGAATTAGCACCTTGCACCACCTGCTGGTCAAAAGGTGGCTCATGCTGCGTTCACGGCCACTGGGGAAAAAATTGAATGAAATACCCTCACGCCACTACAGTACTGCACTCAGATCTTTGCAGTGAAGCTGTGGTGTAACTTTATTCCCCTGTTAAGTTGTATTTAAGCTTTTATTTTATTTTATGATAAATATTATTTGTATGTGCTTATATCTTGTCTTAATGTCCTTTTATGTCTTCTGCTAAGCCTCTGAGAGTTATTTGTCTCTGTAGACACCTGTAATAAAATACTGTACGTGCAGTTACTTTAAAATAAATAACATTAAAAGCAATGGCCAAAGACCAAACATATATAAGTAACTTATTTTAGCTCCACATGTTCTTAAGATAAATGGCCATCTTTTTTAAAGGTGCTATATAAATTAAATTATTATTAATGGTGGTGTTGTTGTTGCTGTCATATCAACATATTCTACAAATTCTGGCAATGGGGGAGGGTGTCAAGCACGTTTAAAAATTTAAATTTTGTGGGTTATTACTGTACACAAAATCGTTTTAACAATATTTTGTAACATCCTTGTGTAACAGTTAACAATTACAACACCTGATTTCACCCACTAGGTGGCACCATTAGTTTGAGATTATAAATGGAGGTGGGCTTTTTTGTTTGTTTGTTTGTTATCACATGTTGGATTTGTTTTTCTGCATTTATTTACTTTCAACTACCTGGTATTCTTTGAGGTGTTCCTAATATTTTGTGTATCTCATTTATGTTCAGCACCGATACTACAGCCTCCGAAATATGATTGACTTTATTGATCCCAGACTGGGAAGATTCACTTTAAAATGACAATAAAGTTTTCCATAATAATAATTTTCAACAAAAAATAAACATTATAACCTTTGTATAGATAGAATTTACTGCAGGACTGCTTTTTATTACATTGCTTTATCATACACAGCAATAGTTTTAGTTATTTTATTTTGGATGTTTAGCTTCTGAAGTACACAAATAAAAGAGTCCATGAATATGTGCAAATAAGTTCCTTGAAAAAAGAGAAAAGTTTTCACTGTAAGTCTTAAAATCATGCAGTAATATAAAATATAATGAGTGGGGCTATGAAGATTCATTTTATTCTGAGATTTGAGTTAAGGGTTGTGAAATAAAAGCCCAACATAATTTGCTAGAGAACGTAACTTTTATTGTATATATGTTCAAAAGCAGCACGGCCTGCAATCCCTGCCTTTCCAGTTTCTAACATTATTCACAGGGCATCATTTGGCAAATATTTCTTCACATATTTTCACACTTATGGACCTCTGAACATACAGCTCAGTCATCCTCTGACTGGCAGGCCCTTCACAATAATATACACAACTTTATTCTCCACATACATTTGATTACCTCCATAAAATGGATGAACAGAACTAACAAGAGTGATACATTCACATTTTTCCTCAACAAAAATCAGAATATTGCCCTCAGTTTCTGCCAGAATAATTTACAGTGAAAACACAAAGTTGAGCACAAAAGAACATAAGTTTTCTTACATACATGCAAGTTTGAGCACACACACACACATACACACACACAGAGTAGCAGGTGAATAGGGGCTTAAAGCCAAGGACACACACAGATGTACAACAGAGATACAGTAGATGGACTTATCGCTTGGACAAAGCAGGAGACACATGAGTCAATCAAGGAGCTTATACACATATAACCCAGAAGTCCACCAATTTCAGCTTTGATTTGTACATTATTTACACTCATGCATCCATACACAAGCCCACACAGACATACAGTACTCTCTCTTATACACACACACACACACACACACACACACACACACACACACACACACACACATAAATACAGTACATATAAGCAATACTCCAAATACCTCAAACATAACAGGTAATATAGATTCTCCCCACAACAGGTAGATCTGCCACTGAACACATCCAGAACCAAACAGATCAATCCTTCTGTTATTCTTGCTTCTGACAGCAGTCAGCAGCGTTGGACAGTGGGCAAAACTCAATACTTTTTATGTCAGTGCATTTATTTATCTGTATGCCGTACATTTGTTTCAAAAATATTGAAATCATGTGGTCAAAATATCTGTAGCACAATAGCAGCACACTTCATTATGAATTTCCAACTGACTTTAAAATTCTGAGAAAAGGTTGGGTCCGTGGAAATGTACAATACCACTATGGAAGCCTGCAGGGGTTTTTTTTTAGCAGCCTTGACAGAGCCAACAGCAGTACAAGGCCAAACTACCTCTATGCTGCAATCACAGATACCACAAATACAGAGAAAAGCAGAAGGATACTGGCTGTTAGCCACAGAAAATAAAATCTACAGGCACAAATCAAACAAGACTTACCTATAACTGAAATAAACTACATCGTTATTATATGGATTTAATCTGAAAAAAAATGTTGATGTCAATTTAAATTTTTAGAGGTATTTTAACACTTTGAAAATAGCAACATAATCTTATTATCATTATCTTTAGCAATATGCATTGAGGTTCCAGTGTTGATACTATTACAAGGTAGGTCATGTTTTCAAGTGTGAGTTTATGGCAAATAATTGATTTTGGACAAAAATTTTCAACAAATGATAGAGCTCAAATTTATCATCCAGTTTTGTTTCACATTTCTGTCTCAAATGTAACAAATAAAAGAGGAATTTCAGTTGGATTTTTTCAGATAATTTAGGATTCAAAGTCAAAAAAGCCAAAAAGTTTCCTTAGGAGACATTTTAATCATAGGTGGCACCAATTAGCCCTCATAAAGAGGTGGTTGTTATTTACATTATTACTTTGTGGTCATGCACAGTAACACCATTTGATCATGATTAATTGTTACCTATAGTAAATATAGTCCGGCCTATAGTGACAATTAGATCATTTTTCAGGAGAAGAGGAAGCTTATCTCACAAAAATAAGTTTTATCAAAATACAGATGTTTAACAAAAGAGATGAGGTTTAGACTCTAGTAAAATACTGTATTGGCCACTTATTTCACATATATACACAAAAACGGCATGATTATTTTATCTGTTTACTTCCTATTCAGTGTCTGTCTGTTCCTTTATACCCTTTGGACACCACATGACTATTGGCAGACTGCTCCAGTTAAGGAGAGGCACATATAAAAAAGGCCATTCAGTATTTTGAAAAGGAAGCAGCATGACATGTCATTATCAACGTCACTGCCACAAGCAAGATCCAACACAAAGCTAAATCAGAAGGAGAGCTCATCAGAGAGCCTTTGTACAGTAACAACACATGGAAGGGGTCCTTGAGGAACAACATTTGGATAAAATAAATATAATTCATCATTCCAACTTTCACATTAACAAAACAGAAAATAAAATTAGCAGTCTCACACCAACATACCATATAACTATTGGTACAAGAAAATGCAGTTTTTCAATATGGCCTTTTTGATTCTTGCTTGGCTAGGTAATGCAAAGGGCTTGGTGTCCTGCATGAACTATCTACTTTGAAAAGGTTGCAGATGTCAGAGCAAATGTCTAAAGTATTGCATGTACAGTATAGTATGGTCAGTCTATTTTAAGATGTCTACTTGCACATTAATTATTTCTATGTGACTTTTTGTGTATTTGTGTATGCTGACTTTGTGCACACTGTCTACTCAACATGTCCTGTGTATGTGGGTCTGGTGGGCAAGCCAGCTGTCATACAGCTGTGTCGTGTGACCGATCTGTCTGATCATCTATTCCCTGCGTTGTCACGCAGCAGGTCGGCTGTGCTCATTACAGCTTGTTTTTCACTTTTCTCCCCATCTGGCTTGTCTTAATAAGACTGTATCAATATTAAAATCCTTGAGTTTTAACCATGCAGTGACTCCACACAAGGTTATGGCTGCAGCTGGAAGGTGCAACCAGTCACTGAACAAAACTCCATATCTCAGTACCAAAACCTGTGCTAACTCTCAGCCCTCTCCTGTGAAATCTACAGGCAGTACATTCACAAAATGGCTGAGCTTATTATTGACTAGCGAGAAATGTAATGATTTTGATTTGCATGATAAAAGTAAAACACAGTAGGAAAAGGTGGGTTGCTATCCGGCTTTACCTATGCTACAATAGGGACATGTGATTAATTAAGATATGTGTGAACCAAGCCATTTGCACTCCTTGCTAAACACCCCAGGGGCTTCCTCTCAGCTTCACCCAGGTTTCATCCAGGTTTTATCCCAGCTGATGAACGCCAACCTGGTGTTACATAAGGACATTCGCCCTGGTGTCAGGTAACCGGAGTGCAACCAGGCCTCCCCCAACGAGCACAGATGAGGCCATGAGAATGGGGATGGCCTTTGTGATGCCAACAAGAGAGCCAAAAATCAGGTTCCCTAAGACTGCAGCCAGCTTACACAGAGCGTTGCAGAACCCAAAGCCTGTTCCTCTGGGGAGAGAAAAATCAGGTGGAGGAGAAAGGTAGGGAAGAAAGAGAAATAGACCTATGTTAAAGTTGACTGAATAACCTCTGTGTTTTCATGGCTGTCTTTTATGTGTAAAGCCATAAACATGTAAGCTAGTATGTACTTATTTATTGTTTATCCCCTCACCTCCTGACTGTAGGGAATGACTCAGTCGTGACCACATCCAGGGAGTTCCAGGCAGAGATGCTGAGGCCATTGTAAAGGCACAACATGAAAATCATCATAGACTCACTGGTGCCGAACCACAAGAAGAAGCAGCTGATGCCTGAAAGGACCATAGAGCCACCTGATAGACATACAAACACACACACACACACACACACACACACACACACACACACACACACACACACACACATACACACACACAGAGGAAGCGTGAAGCAAGAGTTAGTGCAAGTGACATTCAGTTGACTAATGTTCAACTAAATCATAGGACCCAATAAAAATTGCCTCTTGTACTCAATGATGGATGTTACACCTATAGCGTGAATCATTTCAACATCCTACAGTCAACATGAAAACCAATTACTCAAGAGCACACGCAAACATGAACCTCACTCTTACCCTCCATTCTTACCTAACATGGACAGACGCCCAATTTTGTCCATGAGAAGGGCGGACACAATGTTGCCGGGCAGAACAGCCAGTGTCCCCAGGAAATTGATGAAATAAACCCAGTAGGCACTGTAGTCATCATCAAATGTCATCTGGCATCCAGTCTTGTTGTGTGTGAATGTACTATTGACCACCTCTGTGCCATCTACCAACTTGGATTCATCGATGTCTGGGCAAAGAATTAAAAAAAATGGCAATTTGACAGTAATAATACAGAGCCAATCACAATATTCTTATAGTCTTACAGCTGTTCTGTTTGTCTTGACAGGATTATACCTGATGAATCTGAGAATCAGAAATGACAAAACATACCACTCTAGCTATGTTTACATGTCAAAGTTTAGAATTTCAATCCCAATATCTCACCTGTGTTGAAGAAGAAAGCCTCAATGAAAGTACAGTTACGGAAGAAGGAGCCCACTGATGTCACATCATCAAAGTAGCAGTTATGAAAGGTAGAGTCAATGAAGGTGACAGACCTAAGCTTCATATGGATGAATCTGAAGAAGCACAGTTACATTCTGCTGTTAATATTCTGTCACAGTATAATAATTTGCATTAGTATCAATTTAAGCAGTGCAGTAACATATAGCCACTTTAGATTGTAAACCTTACTGTCTGTATTGTACAAATGTGTTCACGTTTAATTGTAAGGAATATGTGATTAACATTATGAATTTGACAATAAACCCTTCCGAAGACCCTTCGTTTTGCAACCTCGGCCAACTTTCTCCTCTCCTGTACTTATATATATGATATGTTATGTGCTGGGCTCGTCTAGCTAAAGATTGACGTAGATTAACTAGCTGGTTATCTTATGTTAAATTTTAACCATCTTCATAATTTGGTTGTGTTATCAAAATAGACGAGCCTAGCACATAGCATATCTACAGTAAGTACAGGAAAGGAGAAAGTTGACTGGGGGTTTGAACGAGGCTTGCTCAACTGTTATGGGAGCACAGACAAGAAGGGGCGGGTCAATTATTTGACTGATTTGTGATTTTGCATCTACTACTCCTGCTGTTAAATTGACTTGTGCTACCGGTCATTGATGAAAAGGCCATTTTTGTGTATCTGGTTCTCCAGGGTGAAGTTGAAGGTGAAGTCTTCAATGCGTTCATTGTTGTGGATCTTCACTTTGGAGGCGTAATCATCTGCCTGAAGGTGTTTGATTACATCAGGGAACCAGACTGACAGGCCATAATATCTGTAACCAGAGGGATACACTGATATTAGGATATCAAGAATCCATTGATAAGCAGCACAGATCAGCAGATGTGACACAAACATGGATAATTACACTCTTAAATGTGCAGTCAGACACAGGCAGAGAGACAGACACACAATAAAAAACACAGGAGACACTTGTGGTTTCTGTTTGATTTTAAAAGGTGTTTTCAGGGTGTTTTTTTAATCTCTGGCTGCTTTCACTCCTATATCTGCTCCCACTGAGACACCAATAGACTAGTATTGATCCACAGACTGTGATTGATTTTGAGACCATGCAGCTTCTGCACAGCAGAGAGATCAAGAGAACAGAAATGCAATGTGGCTGCAAGTTACCACTACTGTTATTATCTGACCAGAGAAATTAGACTTCATTTTTCTATGAAGCAAGTGATGTCAGAAGGAGGCTTACCCGAACGACAGTGTGAACCACACTATGGCTAGTCGTGTCATGTTTTCTCGCATAGGGTAGTTGAAGCACTTCATGAGATTCAGATAGATCTAAAAAGAGACAAGAGACTTATTACACTTTATGTGGTCAAAAGAGAAATTTGGGGTTAGGTCAGTGGACAGAATTAAGCTTCATAATAAGAAAGTGAAGTGAAAATGAAGCCTTATGCTGCAATTAAGTATAAATAAAAATATTTACCCCATGTATTTCAGTCTTTATCCTAAAGAAAAACTTCGAAACTGGGTTGCCAGACTCTGTCTCCATCTCCACTAGTTCATCCAGCTGTTTGGGGATTTTAATCCTGTTTACCTGGAAAATTAATCAAGAAAGAAAATGATGATTACAGTCTCATAAAATAGGTGTAGTCTACTGTGCATTCAGCATTTATTTCTTGACTTGACTTGTTGTCTATTTTTTCCTTAGTTTCATACAAGATTGATAACTGTAATAAAAATCAAATCAGAATCAAAACAGTAAATGTAAACAGTTTGTACTACTGTACAGGAAACATGTGTTGACTAAGAGGCTTTCCCAAAGTGCAGCTCACACAGTAAATAAGCCTGAACGACACAAAACAGCTTTCAGAACCTTCATAATTCAGATATGATCCTGGATGGTGAAAGCGTTAAAACCTGTCCCAGCAGTGGCAGAATATAAGCCTCTTTGCTTCCTTAAGCATCAGGAAACCCAGCCAAGACAGCGCATAGCAGAAACAAACACTCACAGTGAAGACTTTCTCCGGTTGCCCACGCGCTCTCATGTTGGTGTCGTGGATCTGTTTGAGGATCATCCAGGCTTCATCATGCTTCCCCACCTGACAGGAGAGGAGGAAAGCGGGAGAAAAAGAAGAGACGAGATAAATTCATGGGATCAGCCCCAGTCTCCCTTACTCAGGGACAGCAGCAGTCTCACACCCAAAATCGTGTATACTGTACATAAATACATTCCTTTGATTTCCCCAAGATGGGCCAAAATGATGGGAGTCACGACTACAGTGACTCATTTTACTTCAAAGGGTAATTATCCTGCAGCAGCAAACCAACCTACTGTCACTGATCTCTCCACGCTTCTATTTTGCAGACATAAGGCCTCCTCCAGGAGTCTTGGATGACTCACACTGTTTGGTCTGATTACAGTAAACATCTGTTGGGAAATGTCCAAGTACTCTGAGTCTGCCTGACGTATTATTCTAGACACACTGATTGTAAAATTGATAAGCGCAGACAGTTGGTGACAATGACGCAGCACCATGAGGCAGCATTCTTGAAGATACAACTGCAGCAGCAGATTCATGAGTGATCAGATCAGCTTCAGTGTGAATATTTCTTGAGCTGTGATAATTAGGGAAAATGTGATTACCTCAAGGTAGAACCTGGGACTTTCGGGCATGAAGGTAAGTGCCACCACAGCACACACACAGGGCAGGGCACAGACGACCACAAACACCCTCCAGCTGTGAAACTGGTACGCTGAGCCCATACTGAAACTCCAACCTGTAAACGGTGACAAACAACACCAATGACAATCACGTCGGATACAGATGGATGACGTGGCAGAGTGAATGCATTTAACAACGGATGAAAACATGACAAGTGCTTCATTCACATTTCTAACAAGTGGTGTGTGTACCTATCTAAAGCTTTAATGAGGTATATAAACCAAACCTAATGTAGTTAAGATCAGTCGTACAGGAAACCTATAATAAATAGTAATTGAAATCCACATATACAAAAAACAACAAACACAACACACAAGCACAAGCTCCATTTTTGCCAAACATTAACTCCTGTGGAAAGTATTGGCTGTTTAACAGCTTAATGCTCCACTGTGTTCACCAGTTAGTGAGTAACTTTGTCTGTATGCAGTATGGTGCTTGGCAGGTAGCATAAAGTGGGTTTTTAGAGTGTTTTTGCTGAAAATAGCTGCCTGCTCCTGCTGGAAACAGGGTTGCTAGTAATGTGATTTCATCAGTGAAAACTAATGGGCGGCACACACTGCCTGCGTGAGCAAACGGCTACTTCACTGAAATGCTGTGGCTCACACACCTGTGTGGTGTCCACACAGACAACCTTGTGGCTGTATTGAAACTGGGTATATATTGCTGGTCTAATGTCAATATAACTATGAACAGTTCATTTTCACTGTCTATCGTTGCTGAGAACTGTGCATGAAAAAAAGGCAAGACCTCTACTCTAGTAAAGCTCACTGCATCTGCACACGAGACGTACTGCTCACGTAGGCTGTGTGTCCTGGCTGTAAGATAAACAATTTTAACTAGACCAAGATATTTTTAGTTTTAAAATTAACAATACATTTTACATTACACATCAAATATTATAATTTGATCTATTTCAATGAAATAAAATATTAATTAATGCAGCTTTAATGAAAAAGACCTTAAAATACTAAGAAACTACCACAGCAAACACTGTTGCAATTGTGGGTAACATTATGTTGGAAACCTTCTGTCTTTTTTTTAATGCATTTATCCGTGATTGTCATATTGTTCTTTGAGGCACCGATAATTGTCTCATGTTAATCTATAATCTCAAACCAGACTTGTTTTTACAGTATAGATTCAGACTTAAACCTCTATTTCATGAACTCTTTCATATGGCATTCACTTTGTTTTGTTGATAAACTATATGTTGGTGTCATGAAAATAATTATTTTTCTGCAAACAAAATCACTATAGTTAATCTTTCTGGTCATGACTGCTTGGTTCTCGGACGAGACCACAATTCACAGTGTGCCTAACTAATTAAATATACACTAATGTTCAGTGCACCATTTGAAGCCAGCAGGTGGCTATTTAGCCAATCTTCAGCTCACAGGGGCATAATAAAAGCAAATATGATTACTTAATAAGTCTCAAAACGATGCTTTGAGGAAGCAGGGGAAGGATTTAATAATATTAGATGCAGTGCAGATACTACTGTATGTCCTTATCAGAGGGGGGACTGGGCCACTTGATCTGAGAAGCTGATTCTAATTGTTATGTGTGAATCTCATACTGCGAACAAAAAAGGGCTGCAAATAAAAGATGGCATTTAAATGAGAGCACTCCGCAGCCGGAGCAGAGTGATGTGTAAGCTCAGAGATGAATGGCTCTGCAGAGGGAGCTGAGAGAAGTGCACAGGGACGGGTTAATTGAATGTGTAGGAAAGGAATTGAGTGTTTTCTGCTAAGTTAAATCTTGTTGCACCTGATCTCAGCCCACAGGCACTCTCCCAGACTCATTAATCATTGTAACATGTGCACACAGACACACACACACACACACACACACACACACACACACACACACACACACACACACACACACACACACACACACATACACTATGCAGAGACTTATACACACTCACAAAAGGGAGGGATGCACACATATATGCACATACACAAAGAAACTGGCAAAAAGCACAGAAATTAATAACATGAATTACCATATGGAGATGACATTGACACAACAAACATAAGGCCATAATGCCATACTCCCGCCCACACATATACACGAGTAAATACACAAATACATTAAAAAAAATTTGCATGATAGATTTTCAAGTATTTTCACAAAATATAGTTCTAAACCATTCAGTGGAGAAAGAAAAGCAGAGTTTTATACATTTTAGAGTTAGATGTGACGAAATACTTGAAATGTATCTTCAAAATACTAAACAATTCCTGTACTTTATATTTGAATATGTACTGTCTATGAAAATTGAATTATTTGCTGCACTGATTTTTGTTATATGTAGGAGTTAATTGTGTTTAATGTGTGTAAGTTATAGAAAAGAACGCTGCTTGATGGTAGCTCAGGGAAGAATTATATAGTATATAGTAATGGCAGGACAAGCGAGGATACAATCACAAATGTACAATATACTGTATGTGTAGGTCTGCATTTGTGCTCTCATGGACTTTATCTTTTAGAATTTTTGGGAGGAAGCACAGAAAGGGGTTGCCGTGTCAGTCGTGACCTCCCACGTTTCTCAACAGATCGTGCCTCATGGAGATGCTGCTCCAAAGGGAATAGCACCATTATCCATCAACAGGCGTAGGAGTGGAGTCAGGGGGTGGGGAGGGGGTTAACGCTAATGGTTATGCCAGGAAAAGGCTGCTTGGAATTAATCTCACAGCATATTAAAATCCGGCTTTGAAAGCAATGCATATCAACTGCTAAAAACAACTATTTTCAAATGGGGGGTGGGCGTCTGTCATAAGTGGTATAAATGCATCCCAAAAGAGAACGAAGAGATGAAAATGTCTCAGTAGAAAAAAATCAGTGGCAGAAGGGTAAAAGTAAACCAAAAACTGAAATAAGGAAATAAGCTTCAGGACAAAACATTTATTAACATTATCTTTACATCATATGTACAAAACATAACACAATTTGCAAGATAAACAGAATGTATTCAGTGTAACAATCTTATATGTGACACAATATACATTAACAACAAGTCAATGATTAGGTT